TTTGACAGCAAGTTTACAGAGACATTTCGGGGACCCGGAACGTCTTTTCATTAACGACAGTGCTATAGTTTAAGTTCCTTCCTTCTCTCCAGTTCTAGGGATCAGATGCCGGAAGGGCCTCATACATGCTAAGCAACTGCTCTACCACTGATTTATACCCTACGGTCATGGAAGTTTGAATGTTAAACATCCCCAAAGATATACATAAGTATTTTTAACATAAGTATTGAAAACTTAGTTCCCAGCCCATGACACTTAGGAAATGGCGGAACCTTTAATTGGTAGGGCCTAGTGTGTAGCCAGTCTTTCTCTGTCCCACCAGCTAGCTCCCAAATAATGACACAAGAGACTTCTTACTAATTAACTGTAAAAGCTCCACCTATAGCTTAGGCTTGTTTCTAACTAGTTCTTATAACTTAAATTAAGCCATTTCGATTAATTTACATCGTGCCATGTGGTACGTGACTGCTACTTCTCCTGCATGCCCTGCTTTCTGTTTCTGGCTGGTGACTCCTCCTTCTTCCCAGCATCCTCTGTGCCTAGAAATCCTGCCTAGTTATTGGCTATTCAGCTTTAATAAAACCAGTCTGATGATATATATTTACATAGTGTAATCAAATATCTCAGAACATTAATGGAAGTAATTTGGGTCCCTGGGAGTATGCCTTCAAAGGGAATACTAGAGCCCCAGTCTCTCGTTCCTTTCTCAGCTGCTATGAAGTGAACAGGTCTATATGTTGGACTCTTTCCATGATAACGTTGTGCCAGTGTGAACCAAAATAACAGTGACAAGCGATGAGCTTAAGCCTTCTCTTCTTTTAAGTTGATTATCATATTTTTTTGTTTGGTTTTGTTTTTCTTTTTGATCAAGAACAGAAAGTTAAGGGCCAACAAGATAACTCAGCAGATAAGAACATTTGCTGCCATGCCAGAAAACCTGAGTTTGATCCTTGCATAGTAGGAAATGCTTCCTCAAGTTGTCCTCTGACCTCTCTATACATGCCATGGCATGTGTCATCATACACACAATACACAGCAAATTATTTTTTTAAAAAAATTTATTTATTTATTATATATACAGTGTTCTGCTTGCATGGATACTTGTATGCCAGAAGAGGGCATCAGATCTCATTATGGATGGTTGTGAACCACCATGTGGCATGTGGTTGCTGGGAATTAAACTCAGGACCTCTGGAAGAGCAACCAGTGCCCCTAACCTCTGAGCCATCTCTCCAGCCCCAGCAAATTATTTTTTAAAATTAAAAATGTAAATATACATTTCAGGAAAGACGGCTCTATTTGAAAGTCTTAACTCTGCATTAGCATGGTTTTTCAATTTCTATTATATTTTTAATTTATATTATACATAATAGTTATATGAATTGATGGGGTTCACTATGGTATCTCCATACATGTGCATTGTCTACAGAGACTATTCTTACACTCTTTTAACCTCTCACAAAGTATTAGTAATTATTTGTATGCATGTGTTTGTTTGTGGGGTATGTGCCCTTGAGTGAAGGTGCCTTCAGTTACTATCAGGTCCCACATAGCTGGAGTTTCAAGCAGCTGAGAGTAACATTAAGTGGATACTAGGAATCAAACTTGTGTCCTTTCCAAGATTAATGCACACCTTAGCTGACAACCCATCTCTCCAGCACCACTGCCTGCACTTTTAAAGTTATCACATAGGAGAGCACATGCAATGCTTGCTTTTCTGTGACTGGCTTACTTTATTTAACATAATGCCATCCAGTTCTATTAATCTTCCTGCAAACAACAGGACTTCATTCTTATAATGCTTTATTATGCATGTCCTCCTTAGGATTACCATTGCTGTGAATAAACACCCTGACCAAAGCATCTTGGGTAGGAAAGGGTTCATAAGCTTACACTTCTGTATCAGTTGATCATGGAAGGAAGTCAGGGCAGAAACTCAAACAAGGCAGGAACCTGGAGGCAGGAGCAGATGCAGAGGCCATGGAGGAGTGCTGCTTACTGGCTTGCTCTCTATAGCTCTGCTCAGCCTGCTTTCTTAGAGAACCCAAGTCAAAGGAAGGCACCACTCCCAATGGCTGGGCCCTCCCACAGCAATCATTACTTAAGAAAATGTCCTGCAGGCTTGCCTACTACTTGATCTTATGGAGGCATTTTCCAACTGAGATTCCCTCCTTTCAGATAACTTTAGCTTGTGTCAATCTGGCATAAAATTGGGCAGTGTAGTATGTACATGTATGTATTTTCTTTGTCCATTTATCTGTTGGCAGGCAGTTAGGCTGATTCACTATCTAAGTTATTGCCAGTAGTGTTGCCAAACATTTTAATAACTGACGGAATAGTAAAATCATTGCTTTCTAAAACCACCATCTCAGAACTGAATTCGTGTGTAATCTGTAGGCTGACTTATTGTAGTTTTCCTTTTCTCTGTGTTGAGTTAGAATAAAATTTTGTACAAATTAGATTCCCTGCCAGGCAGTGGTGGCACAGGCCTTTAATCCCAGCACTCAGGAGGCAGAGGCAGGTGATCTCTGTGAGTTCGAGGCCAGCCTGGTCTACAGAAGAAGTTCCAGGACAGGCACCAAAGCTACAGAGAAACTCTGTCTCAAAAAACAAAACAAAACAAAACAAAACCAAAAAAACAAAAAACAACACCCCCCCAAAAAAACAAAACCCAACAACAAAAGATTTATTTATGTATTTTTATGTACAAGAGTGCTCTGTCTTCATGCACACCGGAAGAGGGCATCAGATTCTGTTACAGATGGTTGTGAGCCAGAATGTGGCTGCTGAGAACTGAACTCAGGACCTCTGGAAGAGCAAATTAGATTCCCTGACTTTACTGATATTTACAGATTAGCTATAATTATCATCAACTAGTCTGGTATAGCAAACTCATCCTGCTCTTTTTGTTTTGTTTTTGGGAGGAGACAAGGTCTCAAGTGATTCTTACTGACCTAGACCTCTCTATGTAAACCAAGCTGGCCTTCAACTCACAGAAATCTGCCACTCTGCTCCCCACCATGTCCAATCTCTCTCTATTAGTAGGAATTTTACTCCAAAATGAGGACATAACTTAGAAACTTAAATGTAGTGTTTTTAAAAAACTTGTTAAAGAAAAACAACAATAACCAGCTTTCAATAATCTCCATACTTCCCCCTCAATAATATTTTATTCCCTTCAGGATGAATGTAGACTTATGAAAAGGAAAAATTCCCGAGTAGCAGGGACTCCAAGGAAAGAATACTCTTTTTAACATTTTTTTGAGGTGCTACATTCTTTATATATAAAAAAAAACAAACTTAAAAGCTCCTCTTTTCCATCTCTGTTATGAGAGATTTAATCTAGGGTCTTATGTGTGATAGGCAAGCATTCCACCACTGAATTGTATCATCTGGTCTCAGTTTACTCTTTGAGACACGGTCTCATTAAATGCACAGGTTGGCTTTGAACTAGCTTGGATGGCAGGCCTTCCACCATGCTTGAGTTAGCATTCTTTAAAAATGGTATTATTACCCTGTGTGTGTGCACGCAAGCGTGCTCATCCATGCCAGGGTGGAGGTGTGGAGTCAGTTCTCCTCTGCCGCCTTACGTAGGTTCTGGGGATCTAACTCAGACAGTAAGGTTGGCATGGCAAGGTGCAACTGTCTTTACCCATTAAGCCATATCACTGGCTTGAGCATTTTGTTTTTTTCAAAGATAAAAATTCGGAGGCGATCTCCCACCATATGACATGGTAGTTCAGACACTGTGATCTTGTGTTTCCCAGGCTCTAGAACTGTGAGAAATATTTTTCCGTGTTAGAAATTAAGCTCTGTTTTGAAGACACACGCATTTGAAGGTATGAAAAGTCTTTATGCTTATGATCTCCATCGGAAAAGATGCCTGGAATTCAGCTCTTCTTGTTGTCATCACAAGTATGTGCTTTACTGTTGTTCTTGCTAAAATAAAACTGTATGAAATATTTACCATAAAAACAAAAGAGAGCTATTAAGTTGGGTCCTGGGGTAAAACTGGTCATGAGAATTTTGAGGAAGCAGCATTGCAAAGCACTGACTTCAATACGTTGCTTGGTGATTCCCTTCACCGGAGAGTAAACGAAAAGCCAGCGAGCGTCACTGGCACTGAATGTGAACGGTGTCTGGATGGTCTGATCTACTGTGTAACCTTCGGTCTGAGGCATGTAAGAAGTGGACGTGCTCGGACATCCACGTATATGTTTATGTTTACATCTGAAAGATAGGCGTTTGGCGGCTGAAACTGCGCTCAGCAACGTTCTCGGAGGATCGGGGAGGAAAGAAAGCTGCTCGCTCTTGCACGTACCCGGGTCAAACCGACAAAGCAAGGCTGCCCGCTGATTGCCAAGAGCCGCTGCAGGGTTTGCGATTTCTGCAGGCCATCGCTGGCTCAGCGGCACAGGCGGTTCTAACAGCCCTTTAGGCCTAGTAGGGACTTTCACAAAGCCAGGCCTGAACAAAGTGAAATGCGTCTATCGAAGTTACTAGAACAGAGTCAAAAACAATTCCCGGGCTTATTAGCAGACAAAGCCGGGATCTGGGGATCAAGCCTGAGAGTGTTCATAACAGGTAGGGCAGTCTTCTCTCCGGTCCTTGAACCGTTTACTAGGTAACGGGCCATCTCTACCTTAAAACCAAGAGGCTCCGAAAGCCAACCTCTCCGGACTTGGTGCGAGCGGCGCTTTCGCTGCGTATTTCCGCTTCTGGTCATGTGGCTGGGGTACGGCGGCCGCTCCTACCCACTGCAGCCCCTTCTTAGTCTGCAGACCGACACGTCACTCCTCGGTGCTCAACCAAACTGCTCATAGCACGCTCTTTCCGCGCCGTCCGCTCCCCTGCGCCGGCCTATTACAGCTCGTCGGGCTCTTATAGTCACGCCTCTAAATTGGCTGAGTGGTATCTGGCTTGACCACTCAAGGAATGGGAATCCGGCTTGGTCTACGCCTTCGGAATGACAGACAGGACGGTCATCCTATCGCTCCCCCTGAAGTAGTCATCGGCCTGGCCCAGCCAATGCGGAGCGAGCAGGGAGGCGGGCCTTGGCTGCTGTCAGGGTTGGGTGCGCCACTGAACGGATGGCAGGGGGAGCCGAGTGGATTGCTGAAGAGCATCCGCAGGGTGAGGAGGGCCTAGGGCAGTGCTTGAAGATTAGCGGCAGGCGCAGTGCAGGGTGATGGCGGGCCCGGACGAGGCGCTGGAGGCAGGCCTGTAACGGTGGGGAGCAGAGCCTGTCCGCGGCCTTGCAGAGGAGGGGGCGTGTGGGGTGCTGTGGGGACCTCCGGGCACCGGGGCACCGTACGGTCGGAGGAGGGGTCTCGGCAGGGCGCTGCGCTCCGGCAGTGTGGGCGTGGAACATGAAATCTCGTGGCTAGCTTGGAGGGGCCGTGCGGAGCGTGCTGGGTGTTGGGGTCGGGGTCTGGGGTGTCAGCACGGTGAGGGGGTGCAGGAGGCCGTGGAAACGCGTGTAGGAAAACCGGGCCGCCGAGGCTGCAGCCCTGGAACCCAGAGCTGGGGTGGGTCAGGATGTCAAGGCTCGCATGCACGGCTGCGAAGCAGAGAGATGCTGGGCGGATAAGAAAAGCGTTTTTCCCCTTTCTGTGCCCTGTCGGCGTGTGAAAATTACCAGAGAACAGGATGAAAACTCTCAGTACTCGGCCTTGAATGGCTAGCTGCCTTTACTCAGTCTTCAAGTCCAGGTTTTTGCGCTCTCGCTTCCTCTTGCTTACTTTGCAGGTGTGTGGATCATTGTCAGCTCCGTGGTGTTTTGTTTCCGTGTCAGCTATCTCGGGAGAACAGCTACAAACCCAAGAGATGGGACTAGAGTTGTTCACTCCCCGGAGTTAGTGCAGGAAAAAGCCTTCCCTTTGGAAGTATGATTAAATACATTAGCCCAAACTGCTCTTCTGGGACAGTTAATGAAAGAAAAGATGTTTGACTTCGCGGTGTGATTCTTCGTATTTTCCAAATAGTCTGGTGTTATCCTTTCCGAACATTTTTTTTTTCCCTCCAGTAAAAAAGGAACAAGATAAGTAATGCAGTCCCCTCCGCCCCACTATAGTTCTCAACAGTGTCAAAGACACTCTCTGTTGTCGCATTCTTTGTCCCTTAGTCCTTAACACAACTGTTGTCCATACCTGAGTACCATCCTGAACTGCCTTCAGATTGCTTCCTTTTCTACCACTTCGACATTTTATTCTGGTTCAGAAGAAAAGAAAATTATATTTTCCGTCTAGATTATCACCTTGTGCTCCGAGTTGTCCCTGAGACACAGCACGAGTTGTTTAAATCATCAGGGTCATCACAGAGAGGCCTTGAAACACAGTTGTCAGACAGGGAAACAGATCTGAGCAATAGAGTGTGCATTAGGAAGATAAAAAGACAGTGGACCGAGGATGCTTCTCTCTTCTTGAGCGCATGGCTTGCACTTGTGTTTGGGATCAGCCTGTACTTAGTTAGCAAGGAAGCATCCACACTGGGATTTGGAACAGAAAAAAGCTTGGAGTCATTTGTAGCCAGTCAGTTGAGGCTTGTACTTTAAGGCCGGAAATCATGTCCAATCACTGATGACTTCTAGTTTTTCTACTTTCACTTCTGTAGGTCGCATTGGTGTCCACCTTTCCTACTTCCCTCCTCTTTCCCTCAGCTCCAGTCCCACCCCTTACTCTGTTTGTGACAGGTTCTCATTCTAACCAAAACTGACCTAGAACTTAACTTTGTATCCAGGCTGAACTCAATCGCACAAGGATCCTCAGCATCACAGTGTTGGGAGTATGGACTCGAGCTAAGCATTCCTGACTTGTGCGTGTGCCCCCCCCCCCATCACTCATTTCCATGGGGGGGTTCTTTTTTCTTTAAAAAAAAACTTTTTTGTTTGGTTTTTCCATTTTTTTATTTTTTGATGCTTCCGCCCCTTTTTTTCAGCTTCCTTTTCTGCTTGATTCTCGTGTCATACTTTTGGCAATTTGTGCTGTGTACTTTGTAGCTGTGGAAGTAGGAGACAGGACTGTGGGTAGAATTTTTTTTTTTTTTTTTTTTACAGAACATGGAAACCTGGGGTGATTTTTGCCTTTTAGGCAAATGCCATGTTGTTGAATGGCATGGGAAACCCTTTTAAAGATTTATATTTTGAGATAGACTCACACTAACTTGGCTAGCCTGGTCTGGAGCTTTTGCTCCTTTTGCCTCAGTCTCTTGAGTAGGGATTGAGTCTGGGCTTAAAGACATGTTGAGTAGTATGATTACTCATTTTTAGTCATTTTTGGCAGGGGAGACAGTATGACTAGGTTACCAGGTAACCCTGACTGGCCTAGAACTTGGGTGTGTAGATCATACTGGCCTGCCTCTGCCTCCTGAGTGCTGGGATTAAAGGCATGTGCCATCAAGCCTGCTCCTATTTAGTCTTGACACATAAACCTAATAGTATTTGCTTCCTTGCTAGTACATCAATCTTTAGTCAAAGCTTGGGTAGTAGTTTTAGCTCTAATTTCTCTGGTGTTTTTGTCGCTCATATGTCCTTTATGGTTCTTTCCCACCGTAAAAAATTGAAGTAAACATAAGTAAATTCAGGGTACTTAATATCTTTGGTCTTGACTTCTCTCATTTTAGCTATTTGAATATCGTCAGTTACTACCCGTTGATGTCAAGATGACTAAGCTTGGATTTTTGCGGTTGTCCTATGAGAAGCAGGACACACTTCTGAAGCTTCTCATCCTGTCAATGGCTGCTGTGTTGTGTGAGTCTATGTGTGCTTCTCCTTAGAGTTGGAAATAAAAAATGAATTTTATAAACATGGCTTATTCTTTTAGCAGATTGCTGTTCTTTTTACCATTTCTCATTGGTAGAATTTTATGCAGACAAAATAACTCAAGAAATATAAAACAGGTCTGTTGATCACAGAACAGCAGGAAGCAAGCTCTTTAGGTTTTAGTATTCTCACTGACTGAAAGGAAGTGGGAGCTGTTGGGTGTTGAATTTTGTAAAAGAATTATCTTCAACTCTCTGCCTGTGATGGTTAATATTGCCAACTTGACAGGATCTAGAATCTGCTAGGAGACAGCCCAGGGCAATACAGTCAGGCATTATATGGGTTAGGGTTTATTGGGGTTGGAAGGATGACGCCCTTCTGTAGACTGGGTCTTGAACTGAACAGGAGGAAGTGGGAAGAACAGTAAGCAGCCTATTCCTGATTGGGTGCAGTAGGATGTGTTGCACTGTGCTCTGCCACCTCCCTTCTGTGCTCATAGTGCTCTCGCCCTTGATCTGTGAGCCCAAAGAACCTACTCTCCCTTCCACTGTTTTGTCAGGGTAAGCATCACAACAGCAGGAGAAGGAACTGTTTGGGGCGGAGTTTACTGTGTACCCAGATGGGCCTCAACTCCCTCAGCCTCCTGAGGGCTGGCATCTAAGCTCCTTAGTAGTTCTGAAAGCCTTTTGAGGATTCAGTTTTTAAACCCTTCCCAGCTCTTCATGAGTAATAAGTGTACCCTTACTTGACATATCTCTTTGTTTGGTCCCAGAATAAGGTAAGGGGTGTGTGTGTACGCCAAAGGGGTCAGTATATGTAAAAAAATATCCAAATTTGGTATTAGGTGTATGTGGTTGACAGGATTTGTGTAATACAACAAATAGTTAAATGTATCCCATTTAAGTAAAAAAAAAAATGTCCTTAGTTTCGTCAGGCTTGTTCCTTCCAGGTGGGGAGAAATGGATGGAGACTTTATTCAAGAACTATTCTGCACTCTCTGTGACTCAGTGCTAGATAATTCAGCTTCTCCACAGTGCTACTGTTTATCTTCTGCTGTTCTTTAATGAGATTTACCAATTAAAATATTCATTCACTGGATTTTGCAGCATTTTCTACTCGTCTCTTTGCTGTCCTGAGATTTGAAAGCGTTATCCATGAGTTTGATCCGTGAGTACCTTTGCTCTGATATGTTCTTCTGGAGGTGTTGAAATTTGTGGGTTTTATATGTATTTAAATTCTAATGAGTTATCAGTAATGAAGGTGTATTTTCGGTACATTTAAAGGAAGACTCCAAGTTTTCCAAGTGAGTCTTGTCAGCTCAAAAAATGTAATAGACTGCTGTTAAGCCTGCTGCTTGAGGTCTGCCTAGGCTAAGAGAAACCTGGCTTTCCATTTTGATCAGGAGCAGTCACATGCACTAAGGGAAAGTGTTCTGGAATACATTAAAGACTATAAAGAATATCACAAGCTGTTGACCGAGTTTTCTGCACTACCTGATCCCGCAGTTGTTGGGAAACACACAGAGGTCTACATTAATTATAAACTGGTTGGCCTATGAACTCAGGCTTATTAACTCTTTCTTACAACATACATTAACCCATTATTCTTGTCTGTGCCAGCCATGTGGCTCAGTACCTTATATCAGCTAGGCCCTCTCTTCTTGTCTCCTCTATGGCTGGGTGATGACTGCAGACTGAATCTTTCCTCTTCCCAGAATTCTCCTGGTCTCGTCACCCCGCCTATACTTCCTGCCTGGCTACTGGCCAGTCAGCGTTTTATTAAAATATAATTGATGGGATACAGACCATTGTCCCACAGCAATAAGCCATGAGCTTGAGGTCATAATTTCTTTTTCTACTTATTTATATAGTAGAAATTGGACTTATTGTTAAATTCAAAGGCATTAAAAATATTAAAGCTATGAAAACTGGGTATTATGTCAAAAGCCTATAATCCTGGGCTGTATAATGTGCTTTTACCTAAAAAGCATTGGAAAAATTAAAATAAATTAAGAATAGAAACAAATTTGGGCAGGTGGGTTTCTGTGAGTTTAAGACCAGCCTGGTTTACATAGTGGGTTCCAGGCTAGCTAAGCCTACAAGGTTATATAGTGAGTGAGATCCTATCTCAAAAAAAAAAGAAACAAAAACAAAAAAACCAAACCAAAAACACCAAACCAAACAAGAAAACAACATGAGGCTGGAGAGATGGCTCTATGGTTAAGCGTGCATACTGCTTTTGCAGAGGATCCAAGTGTATTGCCCAGCCCCCAGGTCAGATGGCTCACTACCACTTGTAACTCCAGCTTCGGGGCACCTGAGGCCTCTGACATCCTCAGTCACATACATAAACACATAATAAAAAGTCTTACTATTAGATTGAAAAGGATATGGTGAAACCCTCAGTAGTACTAGTACTGTTAGCTGGGCATGCTGGTGCATGCCCATAACCTCAGTACTCCAGGGGCCAAGAGGCAAGAGGATTGTGGCTGTTATGATTTTTAAAAATGCTGCAAGATCAATAAAAAGAAATTAAAATATAGTTAAGTTATTTCTTCTCTCCTTCTTCAAGCTTCTACTGTTTTTTTTTTGTCATGGTGATATTTTATCATAGCAACAGAAATGAAAACACAACACTTACATAGTTTTCCTTCTTTCTTTTTTTTTATTTTTTATTTTTTTGAGAGAGGGTTTTGTGTAGTACAGGATAGCTTCTAATCTGCTCTGTAGCTGGCTGATGATGACCTTGAACTCCTGATACTCCTGCCTCCATCTCCCAAGTGCTGGATTTACGGGTATATGCCACCATGCCCACAACCTTCTTTTGTTTCTTGATCAAACTGTTAGAGCTTCATTCTTAGACCCTCCAGATAGACGAATATTGAGGTGAGCTAATCAGGGAAAACAAAGGGTCTGTCTGTAGTATAACTGGAAGACAGTGTACAATGATTTGACTATTCCTTGTCTAAGGAAGAATCATTCCCAGAGTTTGATCCTAATCCACTAATTTATGCTTCCTCTTTCTTAGTCTACCTCCTACTGGTAGGTAGTGGACATGATTACTATACATGCTGACTGCCTTCTAGAACCTTCATCTTTTCTGTATCTCTGACAGTCACCAAAATAACACTTCTTTATGAGGAACGGAAGGTAGAGCTTTATGCCATCTGCTTCTTCTCTCACCTCGGCTGCCAAAACTTGACCAAGGAGAAAAATAGGGCTAGGGAGGTGGGCTGGGAAGTGATTATCTATAGTTGGAGACCCCATTTATTTATTTGGTTTTGCTCCACATCCTCTTCCTTTTAAATTAGGGAAATGCTTACACAGCCTGGCTCTAAAAAAACTGTTTTTCCATGTATAGTTCTTAACGTTTTTTGTACAATACTTTGTATGTAATGTACAATGTTTGCTTCAGTGTAGGTGGTGTTCAGACATTTGAAATAGCATGAGTGGACCTTGTTAGAAGTTTAAACACTCATTAGGAAGTTCTTGTTATCATGTGCATTTTTTTCCCATCTTACATATACTGTTATACCAATATCTTTATAGATGTTCATTACTTAGAGGTATCCATGTGCTCTTGTGTGTGGTAGAGGAACAAAATGTATTCTTGCCACTTGAAAAGGGCCAAATCTCATGCTTCAGAGGCCTTGTCTTCTGGGTGCTTGAATTTTTTTGCTGCTTTTATTATTTACCACAGGCTAGCCCGCTGAAGTATCTTGTTTGAGTGCTTTGTGTGGACATTAGACTTCAAGTTCATTTCCTACAGAAAAAAAGCACAGCTTTAATTGATACAAGTGTAGAACAGAAATAGAGACTTAAGCTAGTATAAATGATTTTCTTTTTTTATATAAATGATTTTCATAACTTTTTTGGTAATAAACTTTATTTAAGTAATGCTGTGTTCTTAAGTGGCATAATCTGAAAACCAAGCTCTTTGTAAAGTAGAACACATTTGAATACAGAGATGCCGGGGGACATGGTGCTTTTCTTTCTTATTCTAGGTACTTTAACTATCGGACTACCCGGTTTCTGGCTGAGGAAGGGTTTTATAAATTTCATAACTGGTTTGATGACCGAGCCTGGTACCCCTTGGGTCGAATCATTGGAGGAACAATTTATCCAGGTGAGGGGGACAGAATTTGTTGTTTGTAAGGACAGTGTTGTGTTTATATGCTGTGAAACAGCTTTATTTTTGTGGACTTCATTTCAGAATACTTGTAATTTCATTCTGCTTATAGATTTCCAAAAGTGGATCTTATGGAGGACATGTGTGGGCTAGTGGAGATGTGGGAAGGGGAAGATGTCTTACACATTCTGGATAGAATCCTTAGCAGAGAAGTGTAGAAACTTAGTACAGTTGCTATGATAGTATTTCTAGCAGTTTGTCAAAATCTGTGTTGTTACTTTATTGAAATGTGGATTGACCCTTTTCTTTTTATTTTCTTACCAGGACAACCTAATGGGATTACTTTTTCCTGTTTCAGGCTTAATGATCACCTCTGCTGCAATCTACCATGTACTCCATTTTTTCCATATCACCATTGACATCCGGAACGTCTGTGTTTTCTTGGCCCCTCTCTTCTCCTCCTTTACCACCATCGTTACATACCACCTTACCAAAGAGCTCAAGGTAAAGGATTTGAGTGACAGGAAGCTTGGGATTGAATGTTGTTGAGCCTGCAGTAGATGCTGCAGGCTTGGAGGAGTCTAGAGTCTTAGAAGGTCAGGGAGTGTTGTGACACTTACAGGGGAGATGTACAAACATCTACTCACCCCAGATAGGGAACCAAGGACAGACCAAGGTAAGGATACCTCCCAAATTCAACTTGGTGAACTAATAAACCTACCCCAGCAACAGCTCACAAAATCTGGGATGCCGGAGCTTACTGCAGGGCTTGCAAGCAGCTTGACAGATTGGATAGTGTGTCTCTTCCAAGCAGCTTGGTTTGTTTGGGCCTCTTGCTTGCAGCTCGGCAGGTCTGAGACTCTAGGCTGCTGTGCTTGTCTCTGAGCAGTTCTTACTGTTTGTATAAAACGGGGAGCCAGGGGCTAGTGAATCTGGTTTGTTTCAGGAACTTCCTAAAGTTTTTGAGTTGTTTACTTTGTGCAGGGTAGAATACTTTCCTTTAAAACAGGTTCTGAACCTGTTGGTTGTGACCTTTTGGCAAACCTCTATCTCCAAAAATATCTACAGTATGATTTTAACCGTAGTAAAATTACAGTTATGAACTAGCAATGAAAATAATTTTATGGTTGGCCACCACAACATGAGGAACTATACTAAAGAGTCACACTAGAAAAGTTGAGACTACCTCTTTAGAATATCTTTAGTCTTAAGGAGCATCCCTTAGGGTGACTTCTTAGATCTTGAAGGAAATTGGAAACTCCTACACAGTGGAGAGCTAGAGGCTTAAGATATCTGTTGAATCGAATTAGTGGAGAATATGCGCTTTGTTATCATTTGCAGCTGTTTGCCCTTTTAAGGTTTTCAGGTTTCTTGTTGACCTTGATTCTTTGGATTCTATTCTTATTCTGTGGCTGTGGTGTTAGGGAGGTACCTGAGAGGTGACAAACTAATTGGAAGGCTTGAGAAGCCAGGTTCAGCTGGGAAGACTGAAAGATTGGCTGGTAACCCTCTCGACTTTACAGTCTCCTCAATCTGGGTAGATTGTCACTTTTTTGTTGAGTTTTTGAGATAGGATTTTGCTATAGAGCTCAGGCTGGCCTCAGAATTGTGTCTTCCTGTCTTCACTTTCTAAGTACTGGGATTACATGTGTTTGCTGTCATGCCCCGTTCTTTGTTTTCTTTTAAAGTCAAATAATGTTATTCTTTTGTTGTAGAAGTGGTCGTTTTTTTCTTTTCTTGTGATGTGCAGTCACTGTTAGAGGAGGGGACTAATAAGTTTGATAGCTAAACAGTCCATTTCGATGCAAATACTGGTTTTTATTTATTTTGTTTTTAAATAGAGTCTTACTGTGTAGTCCTGGCTGATCTCAAGCTCAATCTTGAGGCGGAAGATTTGAAGAATCTCAAATCTTCAAGGCGGAAGATTTATCTACTTCCGCCTCTGCCTCTGGAGTGCTGAGATTAAGTCTGTGCCTCCTTATCCAGCAGGCTCTGGTTTTGACAGCTCATGTGATTTTTATTATTTTCATTATTATTATTTTGGGAGGGCAGGCTATTATGTAGTCTAAGCTAATCTTAACTCCATGTGTAGCCAAGGATGATCTTGAGTGTCTGATCTTCTTATTTAGTCCCACTGTCTCCCAAATGCTGGGATTATAGGCGTGTTTGGTTTATGTGGTGCTAGGGATCAAACTAGGGCTTCAAGCTTGCTCAGCATGTGAGTACCCTGTCAGCTGAGCTATATCCTATTACCTGGTTTTTTTTTTTGTTTTTTCCCTTAGAAAGGATCATGTTGTGTTACCTAGATTGGTCTTGGACTTGTAACCCTCTTGCCTCGGTCTCCTGAGATGATAGGCCCTTTCCATTATACCCTGCAGCTCATATGATCTCTCTGTCTCAGTATCAGATTTGGTATCCTCATGTGGAGTTGACTAAAGTTTGGCTTTGTTGTGCTATGTGCATTTCTAGCATCTTATATCGACCTTGGAAATTTTTGAGTGCTTTCTGGGCCCCTTGTAAACAGAATAGATTAGTAGGTCCTCAGTTCTCTTAGAGGCACATCCATGTTAACTTCTGCTTTTCCAGGATGCAGGAGCTGGGCTTCTTGCTGCTGCCATGATTGCTGTAGTTCCTGGGTATATTTCTCGATCTGTGGCTGGCTCCTATGATAATGAAGGTAAGATTTAGAATGTGGAAAGAGGCTTTTTTTTTTTTTTGAGACAGGTTTTCTATGTGTAGTCCTGCCTGTCCTGCAACTCGCCTTGTAGACTAGGCTGGCCTCGAACTCAGAGATCCGCTTGCTTCTGTCTCCCAGGTGCTGGGATTAAAGGCATGTGCCGCCATGCCTGGCAAATGCTGAAAGAGGTGTGTTCACTTTATTATCTACTGAAATTTCACAAGGTGCTGAATTTAGGTTCATCTCTATTGCTTAGCAATAATAAAATTGGACTTGGTGAGAATGGCAGGAAGGAATCTTGGATAAGATACTCCCCTAGAGAGGTAACTGGGAACTTTAAAAATTAATACATATTTACTGTGTGTGTCTACATTCATGCTCTTGCATGCTTTATGTCAAGGTCAGAGGACAACTTGCAGCTGTCAATTCTCTTCTATCATGTGATTCTCAGGGATTAGACTGAGGTCATCAGACTTGATAGCAAGTGCTACCTAACCTAGCCAAACAGTTTCATCAGCATTAGCTGGGAACTTCTTCACAGGCCTTTGTTCACTCATCTATAACTGTTGTTTTAACATTATGTTCTCAATTTTCCTAGTGTAAGTATCTTTAAAATTACAGTGATTTTTATCGACATATTTTTTGTTGAAACGTATTGGGAAAGCATAATGTTAGGTATTATAGAGATAGATGATAAATTGGATTATTTTGTTCTAAAATTGAAAAAATTTAAGAGATAGATGACAGATGTCCTATAATCTGCTAAGGAATATAATAATGGACTTGTCAAAATAACTCTAGTTGAATATGGTTGCATATACCTGTAATCCTGGCATTAAACAGGAAGATGAGGAGTTCAAGGCCATCCTTGACTATATAGTGCATTTGTGGGCAGCCTGGACTACATGAGACATTGTTCCAGAAAATAAAAACAATTAAAAAATCCTCAAAGCTGTCCTGATGTTCACATTACTGTAATTTTAGAATTCAAAGTGAAAATGGAAGATGTTCAGTTCAAGTTCAGTCTGGGCTTTATAGTAAGTTTGAGTCTAACTTTGGCTACATAGTGAATTTCATTCAGGCCTGCCTATGCTACCTAGCACAAACAAAACAAACAATAACAAAAAGTTAAAGCTCTTGAGCATTGTGCTTTGGGGATGTCTTGTAAACAGAAATTAATTTGGTTTTAGGGATCAAAAGAAAGCTTTTTGGAAGTAGTTGAAGTTGATCTGGACCGATATTTGGGAATTCATGAGGCAGTTTTTTTTCCCCAGGGGTTGGGTAGTCAGGGTGGTGGTGGAGCTGTGGATTGAATTGAGGGCATTGGGCATGGTAGACAAGTGTTCTGTCTTGGAGGTATAGCTGCAGGTCATCTATCAGTCAATTGTTAAGGACAGCACCATTCTGAGTAAAAGGTCTGCTTTTATTAGCATGCACATAGCCTTGCATATTCTTAAGACTAGCTGGAAATTTAATGCCTACAACTAAAGTAGTGGGGTTTTTTTTTGTTTGTTTGTTTGTTTTTGTTTTTGGATTTTTGAGACAGGGTTTCTTGGTGTAGCCCTAGCTGTCCTGGAACTTGCTCTGTAGACCTAACTCACAGAGTTGGCCTCAAACTCACAGAGATCCACCTGCGTCTGCCCTCCCCAGTCCTGGGATTAAAGGTGTGCACCACTACTGCCCAGCCAAGTGAAATACTGTTGTGGCCAATATTTACCAGTTGCTTCCTGTATTCTAGTAACTGTTCCAGGTGCTTTTTCTCCACTGCATTTGCCCTTGCAATGTTTTTAATAAGTAGATATTTACTGTAGATTCCATGGGCTGGAGGTGCAGTTTAGGAGATGAGAATTGACCTAGCGTGCGTGAGGCCCTTTGTTTAATCCTCAGCACTGGGGGAAGAAAATTATACTCAGACTCCTTCTTACAGGAAGCAAAGGCAAAGGGAAGTAAAATAATTTGCCTAAAATTATACTTGTAGTGAATAGTAGTTAGAAATGTGAGTCTAGATAGTATGTTCCAGAACTGTGTTCTTGTATTAAAGATTATTACTTTTGATTGTATGTTTGTAAGTGCAGGTGCCTAAAGAGATCTAGTGTTAGAGGTGGTGGCGAGTCATCAAATGTGGTGGGAATTGGTTCTCAGCCACTGAGCCCTCCTCTAGTCCCTAGAAAGGGGTGGGTTTTTTTTTTCTGTTTTGGTTGTTTGTTTTTTGTTTTATTTTGTTTTTGAGACAGAGGAACTTTGTGTTATTTTGTGGATGTTCTGGATTTTGCTCTGTACATCAGGCTAGCTTTAAACTCATATCCACCTGTCTCTGCCGCCTGAATGCTGGGATTAAAGGTCTAGCTCCTAGAAAAGTGTTCTTAACCTGTGTTAGTGTGGCTTCTGAATGTCTTGTTTTCTTCAGGAATTGCTATCTTTTGCATGCTGCTTACTTACTACATGTGGATCAAGGCAGTGAAGACTGGTTCCATCTACTGGGCTGCCAAGTGTGCCCTTGCTTATTTCTACATGGTAACTATATACAAGTATTCTCTGTGTCTCTTTCTTTTTTTGGTGCAGGAGACTGAGCCCATTCTAAGTATCTGATTAACTACTGAGGTAGTACTTCTACATATTTTTAATAAAAAAATTTTCTTGCTCCTCTCCCCAGCCCCCAAGTTCTTTCTGAGATAAGGTCTTATGTATCCCAGGTTGACCTCAAACTCTGTGTAGCCAAGGATGACCTTCTGATCCCTTGTCTCTACTTCCTGAGAGCTGGGATTACAGATGTGTACCACCGTGCCTGGATTATATAATGTTTAGGATTGAACCAAGGGCTTCTTGTATGCTAGGCAAGCATTCTACCGAGTTATATCCCTAGACCCTCTGCTTTTCAGTCTACTATTAAAGTCTTTCAAATTCTGTATTACTGTATTTCCTTTTGGTCCATATTGGCTGTTCCATATTTTTATTATATTCCCCTTAAAAATTTCCTTTTCTAAGATATATTCTTTTTTCTATGTAATTTTACATCTGTCCCTTGACTTTGTTTTTGTGCTTCTACTTAGATTGTGTCTGACACCATATGGCATCTAGGCTAACACTGTGACTTGGTATATGTTACTGCGTCAGTGTCAGCATACTGTGAGTCTGCTCCCAGGGACTAATCTTTCTGTCTTCTCACAGGTCTCTTCATGGGGAGGTTATGTGTTCCTGATCAACTTAATCCCTCTTCATGTCCTGGTGCTAATGTTAACAGGCCGTTTTTCTCACCGAATCTATGTAGCCTACTGTACTGTTTACTGCCTGGGCACCATTCTTTCTATGCAGATCTCCTTTGTGGGCTTCCAGGTAAGCAGAGACTTTATAGAGTTTCTGCAGTCACATGTTTCTAAGTAGCTCCAACTAGATTGACTAGGTTGGATCCTCTTAAGAAGAATATGAATTACAGTTTTTATTTTCCGCTGCTTATTAACTGACACAACAGAATTGTTGGTTATGAATCTGCTTCTAATAACACATCAGTTTTTGCTGCATGCTATTTAAATTTAATGGCTCTGTGCTTAGGTTTGTGTGAGGAGGAGAGCCTGTTAACAGGGTTGACTTGAATGATTAAAGTTAAAATTTCAAAAAAGTTTAAAATTCCAGCCTTTTAGTGGAAATGACCCCATTTAATAGCAGTGGACTCTGAACATCTTAATGGGGCCTAGGTGAGTCCTTGAGGAAGCAAAGCACAAACTTTTTAGCCAGATTATTATGTACAGTTAGCAGGAAATTGCATGCTTGGTTTCTTTTGAAAAGTTTTCATCTTTATTTAGAGATAAGCAAATATTTGTAGTCTCTTCATATTTGAAATTTGCTGTTTACTGGGTGATGTAAGAGAATGTTCTGTGTTAGTCCCTGAGGAAGTTGGAGAAAGAAATATACACAGCTGTCTGTGGTCTTCAGTTCAATAGTTCTGGAAAGTCATTTCCGGAGCGTTGACATTAATAGTGTCTGGACACTTGTTAGAAATGCAGATTCTATGGAGGAGGGATTAAGAATTCAAGGTCATCCTTAACTTCAGTCAAGTTGAAGCCCAAACTGGTATACATGAAACTCTGTCTCAACAGACAGATCAGATCAGAACAGAGAACCCAGATCAAGCCAAACCAAGACAAGTGAGACAGTAAAAGAGACCTGTTGAATCAGACACTCTGGGTGGGACCCAGAACCCACTTTAACATTCCCCTTGGTTATAATGCCCACTAGAGTTAGAGAGCCACTGTCTGTAGAACAGAGTCTTTATACTGGTGCTTGATTTCTCAGGTTTGGAGATGATAGTGACATTGAATTTTAAATGATGTGTTTTAGTGAAAGGGAATTAGGAGAAAATTCAGTCCACACTAAGGAAGTAACTGGAGCAGATGGCAAGGATGTGATTGTGATGGTGTATAGTGTGCTTTGTTAGACTCCAGACATTCTTTAGAAAATATATTCGGTAAATTAAACCCTTTTCTATATTGGTCCTTGTTAATTTTGGAACTTGAGACCTTATTTGACTCCTTGGGCTGAAGTAGATCAGAAAAGTACCAATTTTGGATGAACTCTTTCTATTTCTTTTTTCTCCTAATATTGCCATATGTGATCACTCACTTCCCCCTAGCCTGTCCTTTCATCAGAACACATGGCAGCCTTTGGAGTGTTTGGTCTCTGTCAGATCCATGCCTTCGTAGATTACCTGCGCAGCAAACTGAATCCACAGCAATTTGAAGTTCTTTTCCGAAGTGTCATCTCTCTGGTTGGCTTTGTCCTCCTCACCGTGGGAGCACTCCTCATGCTGACAGGTAGAGGAGCACGTCTTTTATAGTTAGATACACAGGATACAGACGTAGAATAGATACCAAAGAGATGGACTGTTTGGTCACCACAGAAGATTCTGTCTTTATTTCAAGCACTAAAGCAAAGCACTTAAAGATTAGTTTAATTTTATGTGTATGGGTATTTTGTCTGCGTGTATATTTGTGCACCCCATGTGTGCCTGGTTCCTGAGGAGACCCGAAGAAGGCATCAGATCCCCTGGAAATGGAGTTGTGGACATCTGTGAGCCGCCACATGGGTGCTGGGAACTGAACCCATAACTTCTGCAAGAGCAGCAAGGACCTTAACTGCTGAGCCGTTTCTTCAGCCCCAGAGTCCTACTTGTAAGACATTCATTCTGTTTGTCAGCATTTGGATTCAGCATGACAGAGTGTCTTTGTAAAGCTAACAGGATTATCTAGCCTTGCCAGTACTTTTTAAGTTTTCTTTTTTTTTTCCTATTGGTTGGCTTTTAGAAATTCTTTTCTTTGTCATACTTTAAGTCATGGCACTCAATCTGTGGAAACTAAGTCATGGCTATTTAGGTGATATTCTCTCTCTCTTTTTTTTTAAACTTACACTTCTTAGAAGCTAATTTATTTTTTCTAATTCATAACAGGATGGAGGACCTATTCACATAGATTCTGGAGTTGACCTTGATTTCTTAATTTGACTAGATTAAGTTTAAGATCCTCCTTTTCAGTAGGCTTCTCTGGAACCCGCTTTCCTCATGAACTTTTATATAGCCAAATTATGTTGTTGAAAAATATACTCTCTCAAGTTTAAAAAGAAAGGATTAAAACTGTAAATAATACTGATATTGGTAAATCAAAAACAGTTCTTTTTTATCTAAGAATTTTACAAAAATGGAACGTGGGTAAAAGTGCTTTTTGCACAGTCTTGCACTTATGGGATGAAATTGCTAATTAAGACAGTACAGTCACTCAGAAGCTTGGCAGTAAGTTAGTCTGGAATATATTTGGTTTATTTGTTTGCTTTTTTCAAGATAGGGTTTCTCTGTATAGCTTTGGAGCCTGACATGGCACTCACTCTGTAGACCAGGCAGGCCTCGAACTCACAGAGATCCGCCTGCCTCTGCCTCCCGAGTGCTGGGATTAAAGGCATGCGCTACCACCATCTGACTAGTCTGGAATATGAAGTATTGTAGTGGGAGCGGTAAACTGCTTTCCCACCACCTGGATCCCAGCTAGCTTTACCCCTGAAATAATTACATGGAAACTGTATTCTTTTAAACACTGTTTGGCCCATTATCTGTAGCCTCTTATTAGCTAACTCTTACATATTGATCTAACCCATTTTTAATAATCTGTGTAGCACCACAAGGTGGTGGCTTACCGGGAGAACTCTAACCTGTGGCTGTCTCGGAGAGGAGAGTCATGGCGACTACCTCATTGTCTTCTTTTCAGCATTTTGTTCTGTCTACTCCACCTATCTAAACTGCTGTCCTATCAAAAGCCAAGGCAGTTTCTTTATTAACCAATGAAAGTAACATATAGACAGTTAACCCTCCTCCATCAAAGTATGACAGAAACAATAAAGAAGATCGTGCCTCAGACAAGGTGGAAGGCAAGAACCAGCTCTCAGAAGTTGCCCTATTACTTTAACACTTCTGTGCATACTCAGACACTACACAGGCACATTAATAATAAAATGAACTGGGACGTTGTGATTACTTAGCATTTTAGCTTAATGTTTTTGGACTATATGTGAAATATTTATTGCCCTTTCTTGCAGGAAAAATTTCTCCCTGGACAGGGCGTTTCTACTCACTGCTGGATCCTTCTTATGCTAAAAACAACATCCCCATCATCGCATCTGTGTCTGAGCACCAGCCCACAACCTGGTCCTCCTACTATTTTGATCTGCAGCTCCTTGTCTTCATGTTTCCAGGTCTGCCCTGCATTTTGAAGTAACCTTCATAAGAATCATCCTTTGATTTCAAATGTATTAACTACCCTCTTCCTTACTTTTTAAATATTTACTTAATTTTTGTTAGATATTTAAAATATTTTTATGTATGTATGTATGTATGTATGTATGTATGTATGAATGAGTGTAGGTGCCTGCAGAGACCAGAAGAGGGTGTTGAGTACTCTGGAGGTAGAGTTACAGGCAGTTGTGAGCCGCCCCATGTGGGTACTTATACTTAGTACTCATAGCATATTCCTTTCTCTTTTACCCAGTTTTCTTCTTGGCTATATTGAAGCTCTATGTTGAGTTTTTATAGTTAAGACAATTTTTATATTGTAAAAACAGTAGAGATAAGTTTTAAAAATACACACAACGGGTACATTTGCACTAGTTCTTACTACCTGTTCTACTACCTTTAACATTTTAAATCAGATGCAGTGATGAATTTCTATAACTTAGTACTTAGAAGCCTGAGGCAGGAGGATTGTGAGCTTGAGTTTGTTCTGGGCTACATTCTCAAAAAACTGTAATGAAAAACCCATTTTCAGTATTTATTAATTTTGAGGTAGGGTCTATTGTATATTTGTGGCTAACCTGGAACTTGATATGTAGACCAGGCTGGCTTCAAACTCACAGAGATCTACCTGCCTTTACCTTCCTTGCAAGTGCATGATTACAGCTTGATACCATACCCAGCCCAAACAACCATCTTAATAAGTACATTCATCTACTTATTTGTTGAGTGTGAATGATACCATTCAATGTTTTACTCCTAATTATAAAGAATCATGGTTAGGTTTGGAGCTAGGGCTTTGTTAGGGATGGGACACTTGCCTGGCATGACTGAGGCCTGGGGAGAAACAAACTTAATTTCTGCCAATTTAGGATTTACAGAAATACTTTTTTCATCTGTAGATGTGTATAAAGATGTGGAAGAGGGAAGGGACCTAACACTTCTTATAGCAGTATTTTAATGTATTTTATACTTAAAATATGGTGTAATTAACCACCTCATCTGCTAGATTATTTGTGGTTGTTTGGTTATAGTAAACATCTTTGCATAATTTTATTTAGGATAGATTCTTAGAATTACTGAGGTAAATGTATGAAGCCATCCAGTCATATAATGAAGGTACTTTCCCTTGTATTTTCTGTACAGGCTCAGCTGCTTACTTTTCTTCCCCTCTTTTGTAGTTGGCCTCTATTACTGCTTTAGTAACCTGTCTGATGCCCGGATTTTCATCATCATGTATGGTGTGACCAGCATGTACTTCTCAGCTGTAATGGTGAGGAATTCCCTCAGTTATAGCCAAACTTTATCCCCGACTCTGTGGTGCTTTCTCATTTGTTCTTTTTTTTGCCTAGCTAAATTAAAAAAAAATATATTGGTGATTATGCAAAACATCCTGCTGTTGTTAATACTTATTTATAATAAACAGACACATTCTGTTTGTGGGGATCTAATTTTCTTGAGTTCATAACCCTGTGTTAGGCACTTTTATACTTTATTGAACCTGGAGCAGATTAAAGAAAAATATTTGCATGGAACTGGAGTTACAGGCAGTTGTGTGCCTCCTGATGTGGATGCTGGAAACCAAGTTCAGGTTCCTAGAAGAACCAGAAGTTTAGCCGCTACCACTCTCTAGCTCCTGGAGTAGATTATTTTTTTATTTTAAAGCCTTGAGAGTACTGTCTGTGCTTTGTTGTTAAGACAGAGAAAGATTTTATGTAAGGTACACTATTTTGAAACATTTTTTATTTTATTTATTTTTATGAGTATGTTTGTTTGAGTGTATATCTGTACACTACATGCATACTTGGCACCCTTGGAGTTCAGAAGAGGGAGTTGGATCCTCTGGGAGTGGACTATGTACTATGTCGGTGTAGGAAATTGACTCATGCTCCTAACTGACGGACCATCTCTCCAGCCCTTTTTATACTTTGCAAAATCAGAAACAGCAATTAAAAATGTATTTTAATTGGTTATGGTGGTATACACCTGTAATCCCAGCATTTGGGAAGTAGAACCATTAGTTCAAGAATGACCTAGTCAACATGGCTAGTCTCTATCTAGAAAAACAATATGGACAAAAATAAGTATATAAAAAAGTAAAAATTTGTTGAGAGGTATGGTGCATGCCTTTAATCCTAGTATTCAGGAATCAGAGGCAGGTGGATCTCTGAGTTCAAGGCCAATGTGGTTTACAAAGAAAGTTCCAGCCAGGATGGTCAGGACTATTTCACAGAGAAACCTGTCTCAAAAAACCAATAAAAAACAAAACAAAACAACAACAACAATAACAAAAACCCCCCAAATCAACAACAGCAAAACCCCAGTAAAAATTTTATATTATCATTCAGAACCTAGACACATTTAGATCTGCATCAGAGTTTGTTATTTATATTCATGTTTTTTGATACAAGGTCTTCTGTTTCTCCTGTTTTAATTATGTGTGTGTGTTGTGTGTTGGTATGTACATGTTAGTGAAGGTGCCATGGAAGCCAGAGCCAGGCTGTTGTCAGCCACCCCATGTGTGTGCTAGGAACTAAACTCAGTTCCTCTGCAAGAGTAGTAGATGAACTTAACCATTGAGTCATCTCTTCCACTCCAAAGATTATTATTTATTATGTTTATTATGTATATGTGTTTGTATGTATGCTATATGCTAGCAGGTACTTGCAGAGTCCAGAAGAGGACATCAGATCTCCTTGAGTTCCCTAACATGGGTATTGGGAACTGAACTTCAGTCTTAAGGATCATGTTCTTAAACTGCTGAGCCATATCTCCATGTATGTGTGTATATGTGTACTTACATATGTGCAGGTACAGGGTCCAGAAGAGGGTGACAGATCTGGAGTTCTAGGCAGTTGTGAACTGCCCAATGTGGGTTAACTTAGGTCCTCTAGAAGAGCAATATGTGCTTGGAAGCCATTGAGCCACCTCTCTAGTCCTGGCCTTGAACTTATTGATTCTCTTTTCTTAGCATTTGATAGCTGGAATTATAGATTTGCACAGCAACTGGCCCAACTGCAACAAAGTATAAGAAATACTTCTGTTATGCTAAAACTATGCTACATATTTTTTATTTTACTTTTGCTGAAGTAGAATATTTGTTGAAAATTGCTAAATTGATGTCATAGTCTTCCAATAAATTGAAGTCTTGTTAGTTGTGAAATACTGATTATACTGATCATGATTCTCTTTCCTTTTAGGTGCGTCTAATGCTGGTGTTGGCACCTGTTATGTGCATTCTTTCTGGCATTGGTGTCTCCCAGGTACTGTCCACATATATGAAGAATTTGGATATAAGTCGCCCAGACAAGAAGAGCAAGAAGCAACAGGATTCTACTTATCCTATTAAGAATGAGGTGAAATTTAAGTAACATGTTGGCTTGGGAAAATATGCATGCGTGTGTGTGTGTTTGAGAGGGATATTAGAGCAATGTCTTGGGTGGTCACAGTGAACTTGTGCAGCCTTACATATTTTGGTGTGTCATATTTGGTCGTAAGATGCTGTCTGTGTTTGGTTTACTGTACATTTCTTTCTTTAGGTGGCAAGTGGAATGATACTGGTCATGGCCTTTTTTCTTATCACCTACACTTTCCACTCAACCTGGGTAACCAGTGAAGCCTACTCTTCTCCCTCCATTGTACTGTCTGCTCGTGGTGGGGATGGCAGTAGGATCATTTTTGATGACTTCCGAGAAGCATATTATTGGCTACGTCACAATACTCCAGAGGTAAAAATTTGAGAGGAGTTGGATAGTCAGATCGTGGTGAAGACACTTGATATTGTGATAAATATGACCTCTTTTAGATGGCTAGGAACCTTAGAGAAATTAGAAATTTAGAAATTCAGTTTTTAATAAGCTTTAAAGGCCAACTATCATTGAAGACTGTCATCTAAAGTAGTGTTTCTCCACCTGTGGGTTGCGGCCCCTTTGACAAACATCTGTCTCCAAAAATACTTATATTGCAATTTCTAACAGTAGCAAAATTACAGTTGTAAAGTAGCAGCAAAAATAGTGATTGGGATCACCACAACATGAGAAACTGTATTAAAGAATTGAAGCATTAGAAAGTTTAAGAGTCATTGTTCTAGAGTATCTTAAATTCTAGATTCTATTTGAACTATTGATGTGGTAGTGGTTTTATTTTTTTATTTTTATTTTTTTAAATATTTATTTATTTATTTATTATATATACACACCGTGTTCTGCCTGAATGTGTGCCTGCAGGCCAGAAGAGGGCACCAGACCCCATTACAGATGGTTTTGAGCCACCCTGTGGTTGCTGGGAATTGAACTCATTACCTTTGGAAGAGCAGGCAATGCTCTTAACCTCTGAGCCATCTCTCCAGCCCTGGTAGTGGTTTTAATATAAGGTAGATTAAATGAGTTTCAAAAGAAGAAAATATTAATTATGTTTGCTATAAAAAAAGCAGAAACTAGAATAGACAGTTACCACCTAATAGTAATATTTAACATTGTAAGTTACGTCTTTTGAGGTTCTGAAGTGATTTTTTTTTTTCAGTAGCCATTGGAAACAGTATTTCTGAGTCAGATTTGCTAAAAGCCCAAACTAAGAAGTTTTTTAAAAGCAATATTGGGACTGAACCCAGAACCTTAGCGTGTGTTAATCACACACTCCACCACTGAGCTGTGTACTCAGCCCCCAAACTCTCTTTTAATCCTGCCATATTTTGTGGTTTGTGTTTTCCCTTCTACCTCTGCAATAATTTTATAATGCAATGTTTATAAATTTTATAATGATTTTATGTTATTAAGGGTCACTTATTAAAAATTACCTAATGACAGACGAGGAGTGTTGGCAGATGCCTTTAATCTTACATTGAGGATACAGAAGCAGGTGAGCCTCTGAGTTTGGGGCCAGCTTGATGTACATGGTGAGACCATATCTCTAAAGAAAAAAATTTAAATTACCTAGTGACACTAAAGTGTCTTAGCTGTACTACATAGTCCCCCATGCTTGCTTCAGAAATCTGGAAGTAGGGTATTTGGGAATGTTGGCTTGTATGTAATGTAAACTATTTCCTGACTGTATAAGTGGAGGAGCTGGTGCCCCAATTTTATCAATTTTATTTTCTTGTTAGGAGTACATTACTTTGTAAAGAAGTTGATTATTTAGGAAAGTCTTCCTTTCTATCAAAATGTCCTTCCATTCCTCTTAGCATGTTTTTCCCCCTGAGGCAGGGTTTCTCTGTGTAGTAGCTCTGGCTGTCCTGCAACTAGCTTTTGTAGACCAGACTGACCTCAAACTCACAGAGATCTGCCTGCCTCTGCCTCCAGAGTTCTGGGATTAAAGGTGTGCACCACCACCACCCGGTGGCATTTGGTTTATAAGAGCAGTGAGATAAACGATTTTCTGTATTCATTCTTGTTTTAGGATGCAAAAGTCATGTCATGGTGGGATTATGGCTACCAAATTACCGCAATGGCAAATCGGACAATTTTAGTGGATAATAACACATGGAATAATACTCATATTTCTCGAGTAGGGCAGGTAAGGTAAATAGGACCTTAGGGTGTCTGATATATGAGGTCTATTGGGAAATGTGTTGCTAGGAGAGGAAGTTGACTTGATTTTCTTTGAGCATTGTGCGTTTATTTTTTAGGCAATGGCATCCACAGAAGAAAAAGCGTATGAAATCATGAGGGAGCTTGATGTCAGCTATGTGCTCGTCATATTTGGAGGCCTCACTGGGTATTCCTCTGATGGTACTGTACCTGATATTGTTTCTGTCTGGGCACTGAAAGTGTAGTGAACCAGTTATTATTTTAATTTTATTTATTTATATTTGTTTTTGAGAGTCTCTTGTCCGCTGTTATCATTAGTCACTTACCATGAAAAGAAATATTGCTTATTGTCTTAGTTAGGGTTTCTGGTGGCTGTGATGAAACACTTATTTAAAGCAACCTGGGGAGGAGAACATTATTTTATCTTACAGGGAAAGGTACTCTATCTAGTCAGGAACATAGAGGTAGGAGCTGGTACAGAAGCCATGGAGGAATGTTGCTTACAGACTTGCTTCTTTTGGCTTGCTCGTCTGCTTTTTCGTAGGACCCAGAACCAGTCAGTCCCACCCTCAGTGAGCTGGGCTCTCCTCCACTAATCATCTGTCAAGAAAAAGCACCACAGACTTGCCCATGGGCCAGTGCTCTTAACTGCTAAGCCATCTCTCCGAGCTCCTGTAATACAGAATAATAAAAGCTAACCCAATAGAAAAGATAGTCTGTTAGTTACATATATAGATTTATATCAACCATGTAATTCAGCCAGTTGTTGAAATTGCAGAAATATTTATATGATGTATGTACTGTTCATTCTGTTCTGGATAGATCTTTTTTGTTGTTGTTGTTTTTTTTTTTGGGGGGGGGGAGGAGGATTTTCAAGAGTTTCTCAGTAACTATGGAGCCAATCCTGGAACTCGCTCTATAGACCTAGTTGGCCTCCAACTCATAGAGATCCTTCTGCCTTTGCCTCCCGAGTACTGGGATTAAAGGTGTGTGCCACCACCGCCTGGCCTGTTGTGGGTAGTTTTAACTTGGTGTTCTTGTATATTCCTGTTCTAGGGTACAGGCACGCATCACTACCTTGAGCTTTTTTTGTTTGTTTTCAAACCAGGGTTTCTCTGTTTTGCCTTGGCTGGCTTGGAACTTACTCTGTTGACCATGCTGACCTTGAACTCACAAAGACCTGCATGTCTCTGCCTCCGGGGTCCTGAGAATAAAGGCGTGTGCCTCTACTACCGAGTCTGGGCCTTTTTTTTTTTTTTTTTTTTATGGATTGTTTAAGTTCCTAATTTAGGCCTTATTTTGCATGACAGGCGCTTTACTGATTGAGCCACCTCCCCAGTCCCCTATTGTATCTATTTTGATGAACTCATTTACCAATGAGTGGAATTGTTAGTTTACAGGGTATGCATATTGTTTAGTTTAGATAGCACAAAGAAATCTCTACAATGGTTACACTAATTTATAATTCCAGTGTCTGTGTTTAAATTCTCAGTTGCTCTACAGTTTTGTCTGTACCTGAGTTTGTCTTTTTCATTTGGGCACGTTTGTTACGGTGATACAGATGTTTTATAATGAGGATGGGGAAACTACTTTTTTAACTTGTTTATTATGTAGGATTATAATTATGTGGTGAGGCTGGGTGGTTGTGGCACACGTCTTTAATCCCAGCATTTGGGAGGCAGAGGCAGGTGGATCTCTGTGAGTTCAGGGCCAGCCTGGTCTATAAGAACTAGTTCCAGGACAGTCAGGGCTATTATACAGAGAACCCCTGTCTCGAAAAACCAAAAAAAAAAAAAAAAAAAAAAAAAAAAAGAATGTGAAAAAAATCAGATTTTGTTAAGTCAGAGTGCTGTTTACTAGCTAATTGTATGTAAAGAAAGACTTATTAGAAAAACAGGGAAAAACCTTGAACGTTCTTTGGAGGTGATGTCATATTTTTGAATTGTTGAAAGAATGATGATTTGGCAATAGTCTAATTGTTGGAACTAGTCTTGTTTTAAAGACAATAAAATACTTTTTAAGGACATTAAAAGTAATGCAGAATATTCAGTATCTAGCTCTACAAAAACATGCATGAGACAGTAATGAAAGACAGTCTCTCAAAACTGTATTACTAGAAGTTGTGAAAGTTTGAGAATTATTATTATTGTTGCTATTAACAATATTTATTCAATATTTATTCAGTATCAGCTGGGTCTGTTTGTGAAAACTTTCTGAATTTTAAAAGTCCCACCCCCACACTTATATGTGCCACAGGACAATCTCAGTCGTGTCTGATTTCGCTTCAGTTGCTCATTCCCAGCTCATCTTCAGTCTTTATTCTTACCTTTTCTTGGTTTTATTAAAAAATAAGTAGGGTAATGAATGATGGAGTATGGCTATGGCTGTAATCCTAGCATTACACATGCTGAGGCAGTAGGCTTGTGAATTTCAGGCCAGCCTGTGCTACATCCTGAGGTCTTACCTTAGAACAAATCAAACTGTCTAGGTTGGCCTTGAACTCTTCAGCACTTTTCAGTACTGAGATTATCGGCATAGGCAAGATGCTGTTTTCTAAAGCAATTAGCAGGTCTTTGGATAGACATTTTCTGTTGCTTTTTTATTTTTATCAGACAGGATCTCACTATGTAGACATGTCTGGCTTGGAACATCGCTATGTAGACTAGACTAGCCTTAAAGTAACAGAAATCCACCTGCCTGTGTCCCAAGTGCTAGGGTTACCACTACACCTGGCTTCTAGTTTTACTTTTTTTTTTTTGCTTTTTGGGACAGGGGTTTCTCTGTGTTACAGTCCTGGCCGTCCTGGAACTAGCTCTTGTAGACCAGGATGACCTTGAACTCACAGAGATTCACCTGCCTCAGCTCCTGAGTGCTGGGATTAAAGTCATGTTCCACTACTGGCTGGCTATTGGTTTTACTTTTTATTGAGTGCTTATGAAGGTTTAAAATAAAATATTTGATCATTAAGCAGATTCTTTTATATTAAAGGTTGATGCTGTGTAGCCCAGGCAGGCCTTAAATGCATGAAACTTCTCCCTCAGCCTCTCAGTGCTGGGAGTACAGACAGGCACCACTGTGCCTGGTTTCCACTGTGTATTATGCTCCTACAGCACGTCTGAAGTGATATTAACAGTATTGCAGCTGCTTACTTAAGTATTTGTAGCCACTCCTCGCAGTTAGTCCTTGATTTCTAGGAACACTTCCAGATGTGGCTGAAGACTGTACCAATAGCATTTAATTTCAGCCTTTAACAAGCCATTAATATCTAATAAAAGTTTTGTATTTTTAAGAAATAGTTTTGGTCACACACTATTTCTTGTTTTTGCAGAGGTAAATAATAACATTCCTTATTAGGAAATTGTGATGGAAATTTCCTTAGAAATAGTGATATTTTCATTGTGTTTCTTAGATCCTGCAGCTTTTCTGATTCAGCGGTTCTTTCCTTTTTCCTCTAGATATCAACAAGTTTCTTTGGATGGTCCGGATTGGAGGAAGCACAGACACAGGAAGACATATCAAGGAGAATGACTACTATACTCCAACAGGGGAATTCCGTGTGGATCGTGAGGGCTCTCCAGTGCTGCTCAACTGCCTTATGTACAAAATGTGTTACTACCGCTTTGGACAAGTCTACACAGAAGCCAGTGAGTGATTCATAATACTAACAATAGTGATAGCTAACACATACTGTGTTTTCTGGGTTCTGCTCTTAGTCTTTTTTAACTCATTTAGTCCAGGAGCCCAGGAAATAGAAACTAATCTTAATGCCATTTTATATATGAGGAAATTGAAATAACCAACAAGTAACTGAACTAGATAATATCACAAGATAGGATTCAAACTCAGTCTGCCTCTGAATTCTATTTTTTTTTTCCTGTCTTTTTATTTATTCATACATACTTACTTGTCTTCTGGCTTGTTGAAGCAGTAAGTCAGACAGCACTTGCCACAGTAATGTCTGTCAAAGTGGCTAGCCATGAAAACTCCAGCACCACATTCATCAGAAGGACACTCTTGACGAAGACTACTAATTTTGCCATTTTCATCCACCTTATAGTACTTCAGTACAGCCAACTTCACCTTCTTTCTCTTATGCTTGTTCTTCTTGGGAGTGGTGTAAGACTTCTTCTTCCTTTTCTTAGCACCACCACGAAGTCTCAACACCTGATGAAGGGTGGACTCCTTTTGGATGTTGTAGTCAGACAAAGTACGACCATCTTCCAGCTGCTTGCCAGCGAAGATCAGCCTCTGCTGATCAGGAGGAATTCCTTCCTTATCCTGGATCTTGGCCTTGACATTTTCTATAGTGTCCGAGAGGGTGATGGTTTTCCCCGTAAGGGTCTTCACGAAAATCTGCATCCTGGCGGTGCTGCCACCACAAATGGCGGATCGGAAAGCTGAATTCTATTCTTTGAAATATTATCTTTTGCTTGGGCGGTGGTGGCACACACCTTTAATCCCAGCATGTGGGAGGCAGAGACAGGTGGATCTCTATGAGTTCAAGTCCAGCCTGATCTACAGAGGGAGTTTCAGGACAGCCAGGGCTACATAGAGAAATCCTGTCTCGAAAAAAAAAACAAGCAAAAAATAAATTTATCTTTTTTTTTTTTTAATGAATGTCTCAATAAAGAATATTGCAGTGTGAGAAGGACTAAGGGAATAAAGAATACATTGAGAGTATTCCCTCAAGGAAGGGAGTATCCCTTCCCTTCCCTTCCCTTCCCTTCCCTTCCCTTCCCTTCCCTTCCCTTCCCTTCCCTCCCCTCCCCTCCCCTCCCCTCCCCTCCCCTCCCCT